GCAGTATCTGGGAAATCATGACCACATAGGATCTAATACAGAGGGTGAAGTTTCCAAATGAGAGGATAACAGAGAAGAGTGGTTAAGTTCCCCATAGCTGGGAATGGGGCTGGCAATGGGTACAGCAGAGCCCTGATGTCCACTTGAAAAAAGGAGACAATACAGAGAAATAATGACTCAGATTCTAAAGTCAAGTGTTTGAATCTTTGCTCTGTAATGTATAGCGATGTAACTCTAATTTAAAGCCTCGGTTTCCCTATATGTGCAACACTTATCTTTTACCTTGTAGGTAAAGGGAGTTCACAGGCATATGTGTTCATGGTCGGTACTTATAAATGGAACCTACAAAATGTTGGCAGGGGGTGGATTGCAGTGTCCACTCAGGCCTCTATAGAGGGTGTCCTCTGTCACACTTTTTCTGTGGGGATAATGTCTTTGGTTCAGGCTTACTGGAAACTTCCAAGACTCTTGACATGGGGTTTTCCAGGTTTGCTATTCAATCCCTCCCTCTTGGAGGTGAGTATTCAGGATAGTGGGCAAGGGAGAGATTCTGGAGAGGAAGTCCACTCTGGAGACTTAGAGAACACTTGAAAGAGAAGACTATTTAAAAACACCAAAAAGGGACCCAAATAATTTCAAAGGTGTTGGTGTTTTTGATTCTTATTTTGGGACTAAAGCATGAATAAAGCTTTGCACTCCTCTTGGAATGTACTGTGGACCATTTTTTTGTACTTTAAAGTAATAAATATGCAAAGTGCCTATGTAATATTTAAAAAGTTTTAAAGTCACACGAATATCTCACCCTGAACACAGTTATATATATACTTTCTAACATTTTCTTATCATTATCTGTACCACACATCATTCTGAAATAGTTTCTCATAGTTTTATATTGTAAAACATGCAGATGACAGGCATCTCTGTGTCTCACGGTACTGGTAGATCCTTGCAGGTTTAACATGATTGTGATTGTATGCACAATTTCTTATACTTATCTTTTATCCTTATAGTTATCCTTTATCTTATACTTGAGTTAATCTTCAATTCTGAAGATATAATAGCAGTTATTTCCAGGAAGCTCATGTTGAAAGATGTCTTCAATTTCCAGTGTCAGCGGTTTCTTGTGAAACCTATCACATTTTTTCTGGGGGGGGGGGGGGGCTGTGAATCTTTATCTCAGGATTCACGAAAATTTTGATTCAAAAGTAAAAACATCAGGAGTCTGTGGCAGATCATGTTCCTGACAATCAGTAATCCTCTTTGTATGTAGTAATAGAATCATAGCTGGGTATGCAGTTGCCAAGCACAATGATACATTTTAAGGCTCACTTTGCTGCCTGGTGTAACCTGAAGGAACAGTAGGAGGGACAGGTGCCATTTTTAGGGCTGGGTACTCCACTCCTCTGTCCTGTTGGCGGCAGGGAGCAGCCACTATAGACAGAGAGATGAATGCCATCTTTACACAGTATTTGCTAAACTAGTTTTGTCTCTCCACTTGTGGCTGGTAACATGCCGGTGAGTGTTTTATTTTACCCAGGGCACCTATGTTCCCCTACATGCTTTGTTCTTGGAGGGATGGCTTCTGCCATTCAGGGCTGACTGTATTCCAGGAGTTCAGGGCTGGCCATCCTGTATTGCACACATTTAATATTATATAGAAGTAAGCATTAGACAAGTGTTAGGGGTGTGGCATATTGAAAAGAGAGTTAACTGAGAGCTGCCTGGATGCAAAGGTCTCAATCTATATATAAACAGATGGTAGTAATAGCAATAGAATACCCCCAAACACCAGCCATACCTTCCTCTCCCAAACTGATATTCATTGTTCCCAGCTCACACTCTGCTCCTAGCATATGTCTTCTGCTGAAAAGTAGAAAAGAAAAGGGAATCAAATTTTAGGGGACCTCTTACCATTTATGGAGAGGCTGTGCACAACAGTGATTAAGAACATGCGGATTGGAGTCAGATATATAAAGTTCAAATTCCAGCTTCATGACGGACTAGCTGCAGAGTTTGATTAAGTAACTTAGTGCTGTCATCTGCAAAATGGGATAATAATACCAACTTCAAAGTTGTCTGGATAGGATGTAAAGCAACTTATTCAAATGTCTGGAATGGACTGAGAAGGAAGTTGGTAAACTGTGGCTAGTATCATCTATTCCGTTCTCATTTCCTGGTGCCAAGTGTGTTATATGCTTATTTCATCAACCCTATACCATGGGCACAATCCCTGCCATTTTGTAGAAGAAATTGAGGTTAAAGAACTCGTGAAGTGAAATAGATATCGTACTAGCTCTCTTGCCAATGGAGAAATGGAAACAGGGAGTATTTACATAGCTCATGGATCAAAGTAAAGCAATTATCAAGCTGGGCTCCAAGGCCGAGTCTGTCTGATCTGACATGTTGTAACGGTCATGGTCATATTTGCTATCTGCATTAACTTTTAAGAATCAATTTCACAGACTGGGATACCCTCATGACTGCTTTTAATAAGGATCGGAGTTAAAATTACTAAGGAAGGAGCAAGTGTCTCTATGTTGTATTTTCCAGTCAGGCTCCATCCCATCAAAACCATGCGCTGTCCGTCTTAATCAGATTTCTAACAATCTAGGATTTTTTTTCTGCAGTTTTCCTAATCAATCGCAAGTATTTTCTGAGGCTGTATTACTTTTCGTTTACCTTTTTCATTTTGTTAAAATGTGAAACTTTGGCACTTTACAGGTCATTTGTATTTTTCTGACATTCTTTGTTTTTTGATGTTTCCTGAACATATTTCTGAACATCTCTTTTCTGACCCTATTAAAAACTTAGTATATGTGTACTATAGGCAATTTAGAAGTTTTCATAAACAGTTGAATGTATTTTCAAATTTAAATTGTGTCCATTTAAAAAAATAAATTGTGTCCATTTTATTTTTTATATAAAATTTTTTTTGAGTATAGATGACACACAATGTTATATTAGTTTCAGGTGTGCAACATCGTGAGTTACCTCCTGTATACCTTATGCCCTGCCCACCACAAGTGTAGCTATTATACATCTCCATACAAACCTATTGCAGTAGCATTGGCTATATTCCTTATGCTATGTGGTTGTGGCCATTTCAGTGTATAACATTCCTGGCTCTACGATAAAGATCTTTTAGATTATCACTATAATTGGATTCAATTATTGTGGTAAAAGATAGGTTACATAGCTTTTTAAAGCAACCAAATAGCATTTCTTATCCACTTGCTTCTTTCTTTAATAATATCTTAAGAGTCACAGCACTCAAAAACATTTTTATCCGTCTTTTTATCCGTCTTTTAAAAATGTCACATTCATTTCAGGTGTAAAACATAGTTATTCAGCAATTACATGAATCACAAAAGCTCACCACAATAAGTGCAGTTGCCATCTGTAGCTATACAATGTTACTACAATATTGTTGACTATCCTTCTCATGCTGTACTTTTCGCGATTTATTGATTTTACAACTGGAAGTTTGTATGAGGTTTTTTTTTACTTTAAATAGCACTGTGTCAGGTGTTCTGGAACTCCTGTGTTTGAATTTATAACCCGTTGATGAGCCAATGTAAACAGAGCAAAATAATTAGCAATTAATAAAGTGAACAATAATTAGTTGCAATAATTGTAACAGGTGAGCTATAAACAGAATTCTTGACTTTCCTAGCATCAAAGTGAACATGAGTGTCAGAAAAAGGGAAACGATACAAAAGGAAGCCAAGTTTTTCCATCTCCTAAACTTCAAGAGAAATTGCACAAGTGGCTCTCTACAGAAGATAGAATAAAAGTGCCCTCAGAAACATTCCCACAGCAGACGCGCTCACGAAACCCATCTGGCTTTTTCTTTCCACTTTGGACAGAGGTGCGGGCGTAATATTGAGGAAAGTTTTGCTTAGGAATCAAAAATGTGGATGTACAGCAGAAATTTGCATGGCAGTGGGAGTATGCTCACAGCAGGATACTTTTCCAACAGAATTCCTAGGCACACCTTTGGTCGGGCTAAGCTGTGATAAAAACTAGATGGGAGAAAATTTCAAACTGCTTTGATGAACCCCTATGCACTAAATCGATCCTCTGCGTTTGTGGCGGAGGTGAGAGCCACACGCTGTCAATGCCGCCTCAGCATACGGTTTTGCCGAGCCCATTTTTGCCAAGACGAGAGGGTGGCTTAGCAGGACTCTATTGCACCTGCTTGAGTGGCGGGCTGAGGTCGCCGGCTGCAGTGGCTGTTCTCACCCGCGTCCTGAACTCCGCACAGCAAGCACTGCGCATGTTCACAGGCACGTTACCTGCTAACCTGTGGCTCTTGCATGCCTGGATAAAGCAGAGGCCCACGCAGAGCTGCTACCCAGCCAGCCAAGCCTGAGACCGAGCATCTCAGCTCACCTTTGCAGCTAACACAGGACCCCAGAGCGTATCCCTGGGAGAGAGGGGAGTTCTATAGGACATGCTTCCCTAAACCATTCCACAGCCTGGGAAAGCGCCTTCACCCTGCCTCTGCGGGGCAAGCCTGCAACTCGCGCGCCAGGGAGGGGAGACCCGGGTTAGCGGCCCCCGGAGCGAGGCGTCACCGGGCCTGGGCGGGGCGTGGCTGCGAGGGGCGTGGCCTGGCGCCCCCGAGAGGCTCCGGGAGGCGGGGCGAGGCGGTGGGCGGGGCCCGGCGCCAGGGAGACGCCCTGGGGGCGGGGCGAGGCTGCGAGGGGCGTGGCCTGGCGCCCCCGAGAGGCTCCGGGTGGCGGGGCGAGGCGGTGGGCGGGGCCCGGCGCCAGGGAGACGCCCTAGGGGCGGGGCGAGGCTGCGAGGGGCGTGGCCTGGCGCCCCCGAGAGGCTCCGGGTGGCGGGGCGAGGCGGTGGGCGGGGCCCGGCGCCAGAGAGACGCCCTGGGGGCGGGGCGAGGCTGCGAGGGGCGTGGCCCTGCGCCAGGGGGAGGCTCCGGGGGCGGGGCGGGGGCGTGCCCGGCGGCGGGTGCGCGGCGGCGTGCGCGCGGCGTGGGCGGGGCCGCAGCCGCAGGCCCACGCCGTAAACAGACAAGATGGCGGCAGCGGCGGCGGCGGTGCCTGGGGCCTTGGGCACCTTGCAGGCCGGCCGCGCACGCTTGGTGGCCGCTTGCTGTGCGCGGCTTGGCCCCGGGTGGAGGCTGCGTGGCTCCGTGACTGGCCCGCGCGTCGCTCCGGCGGTCTGGGCCCGGGGCTGGACGCCCGCGGCCGGAGGAGGCTCGGCCCCGCGGAGGGGCTACAGCTCCGAGGTGAAGACGGAGGACGAGTTGCGGGTGCGGTACCTGGAGGAGGAGAACCGAGGTGAGGGGCGCGGCGCCGGCAGCCGCGGGTCCCGGGAAGGGGTCGCAAGGTCAAGTGTCCCGGCTGACGTCAGCGTCCGCTGAGCGGCCCGGGTCGAGACCCCTCCCCTCCCCCACCCCAGCCTTGCACCCTTGAGGTGCTGTGAGTGCCTAAAGGTGTACTCCGGAGCGGCCTACCTGTAAAAGCGGCCCCACTCAGCGCCGAAGACAGACATGCAGCTTACGCCCTCATCTCTAGACGAGCCAAGGTCAATAAACCGGGTGTGTGATACTTGCTTGCAGGTTTTGTGCTTGCTGTGTAATTGCTTTCTGTGCACTCAGATATCGGGGTCCCCCGGGGGTGGAGTTTCAGAAGCTGCAGTGAGAATGCACCTCGTTCTGAACAATCTCCCACGTAAAGCCGTGCAGCCGCTACAGTTTCTCTCCCTCCCCCCCCGCCCCCCTCCTTGTTTATTGTAGAAAGTTAAAGTTAGTTTGGGTGACTGAATTCCAGTTTGTTGAGACCATTTTTGAGCACGTTTTTGCCTTCCGGGTGCCGCGCTAAAGCTCCGGGGACCCAGCGGCGGGTGATAGGGATCTTGCCCTTGAGCTACCTGCGCTGGAGGAGACGGATGCATTAGCAATACAATGCCGCGGGGGCGGGGGCTGTGGAGGAGGGAGGAACCTGCCTCTCGGAGGGGTGAGGGGTGGAGCCCAGTTCCTTTCTCGAGCCCCTTGGGGTCGGGGGGAACGTGCTAGAGCAGTTTGCCAGAGAACCTGTCATTTAATTTGGACAGACAGGTTGTTACTGAGCACCTGTCATCTGTGAAGCAGAAGTGCAAAAGGAGTTAAGGCATGATTGCTGTCTTTAATAAAGCATATTCTGACAGAGTGAGGGCGATACTGGCAAAAAAAGGCTCTGCTACCTTGAAAGGCTTGGTGAGGGTGAAGGGCTGTACTACCCCCCAAAAGGGCTATGATCATTTGTATTTGGGGAGGTTGGAGGACTTGACAGGGGGATTCTGAGGGTCGATTTAGGCTTTGGCCAGATGAACTAGGTTCCCAGGCAATCCTGACTAGGCAGGAGAATTTGGGAGTGGTGAGGGTTTTTAGGCAAACTGTCTCCGTGCCTCAACTTTGGTGTGTAATGGGAAAAATAACACCAACATTGTATGGCTGCCGTGAAAATTAGATGAGAATGTCAATACAAATTGCCCCTGAGTATCTAGCTCCTAGTGCAGTATGAGGAGTTATTTAATCTATCATTTGTTTATTATCCCAGACAGAGACCTGAGCATGGTCAAAGGCATGGAATCCAAACATGTTATGTTTTCGGGAAGTACAGCAGGGCATGTGTGCCTGTAGTGTGGCATGACATGCGGAGTATTGAGAATTTCAGCGGGAAAGTAGATTTGGGGCTGGAGTGATTAGAGCCTTTTTGGTTAAGCTTGGCCTTACTGGGATTTCGGTTACCTTAGATGTCCAAACGGTACCTTAGACATGGAGATTGCAGGTGCAGCGAGTAATGTGCACCATATTTTGTTTTTTTTTTGTTTGTTTGTTTGTTTTGTCCTTTTGACTTATATGAATGCAAATAGCAAGTAGAATTTCATGGAAATTCTGGAAGTGTCTGGAAATGACATGGAAATGTCTGGAAAGCCCTTAAGTTAGGATCCAGATGGATCAAAGAGAAGAAATCAAAGCATACAAGACAAGTGCATAAGTTCAGATGTTTGCAGTTACCTGAAACATAAAAATCTGCTTTTGGGAAGTTATAGTTTCTTAAGAAAGTTGACCCAGCTTCCTTTGAATGACAGCTCAGGCTTGGCTAACATTATACATGCTTTGCTTTACTAGCAAACCAGCAGTAAGCAGTGCAAAGGAAAACATGAGTGAGGTCAAGGAATCTGCAGGTAAAGGAGTGTCCCAATGCCTTTGCTTCTCATAGAGACCAGTCCAAAATCTGAGGGACTCAACAGCCTGCAAGGAATAAGAGAATGAGAGTTCTCCCAGAGGTGAGGTCTGAGGAGCCCCAAACCGCTCTTCACCCTCTAGGCCTCTGTAGGCTGGTGAAGGTGCTTCAGTGCAGAATGCACCAGCACTCATCTGTTGTCTGGGTTCCATATCTGCAATTTGTTGAGGACGCGCAGTTGTATGACCAGGTTTCCCTAGCAGTTATTTTTTGCTTTGTTGTCTGACCTACTCGGGGTCAGAGCAGCAGTCCTCGCCCTGGTTCCTCAAGGTCTGTCCTTTATAGGTTGGCTGCTCACTAGTCATTCTCCTTCCCAGTTTATTGCTCATACTTGTCCTGGGGTTACCTCTTTTCAGGGTCAAGAATGACTGCTCCGTTAGAAACTTCTAGTGGCTCCCAGATGCCTGCAGGCAGAGTCCCCAATCTCCCCTGCTCCTGGAGCCTAAGCTTTGCCTTTGCTCCCTTTTATTTGTGCTTTTGCGTGCGGTTCTCAGACTGCATACAAAAGAATGACTTCTCTTCCCCTTATCAAACTTCTCCCAGTCTGCCAAGCTTCTACTCATAATTGTGACCCATTTCAAAGCTTATCTTTGAGAACCATGTTGGAAATATTGTTGGCAGAAATAGAGCAAATAATCAAGTGCATCATGCAAGTCTTTCTTGATATCTGCTGCTTACTGTTCACATCCAGGTTATCAAGACTTCCTGAGTGTCTCTGACGTCTTTCCAGTTTCTCTGCATTCTTCTTTACCAACACCGCTCTTGTCCAAGCCAGCAACGTCTCCCAAGGGCGCTTTCCCTGGGTCTGCCGGCTGGTCTTCCTACATCTACTTGCTTTTTGTTTTCAGCAGATTGATTTCCTTGATATATTTTGCTTATGTTTTAATTTTCATTTATTTATTGGTTTATTTTTAAAAGTGTATTTTCATAATTTTATGGCATGGGAATTATATTTATACAAATATATTAAGATGTGTGTATATATATATATATATGTTTAATATTTTATTTACTTATATGGAACAGAGAGAGGGAGAGAGCGTGTACTAGAGAGTACGAGCAGGGGAGAGGGGAAGGGAGACGGACAAGCAGAGTCCCATTGGAGGACCCTGGGATCATAACCTGAGCTGAAGTCAGACTCTTAAGCAGCTGAGCCACCCAGGTGCTGCAAGATGTATATATTTTTTAATATTTATTTATTTATTTATTTATTAAATCTTTATTGATGTAGAATTCACATACCATAAAATTCAAAATGTATAATTGATTTTAGTATATATAGAGAGTTGTGCCACCAACTCCAACTTTGGAATGTCTTTCAATCCAAAAAGAAACCTTTTTCTTTAGCCGTGACTCCCCATTCTCATGCAGTCCTCCCCCTAAATAGGACCCATTTATCTGTTTTCTGTCTCAATAGCTTTGTCTATGTTGGACACTTCATCTGAGAAGTAGTATATATAGTCTTCTGTGGCTTTTTTCACTCAGCATTATGTTTGCAAGATTCATCCGTGCTGTAGTGAGTGTCAGTACTTCATTTTTTATGGTTGGATAACATTTCCATTGTTTGAATAGATCAGGCCACATTTCGTTTATTCATCATTCATACACATGTAGGTTGTTTCTATTTTTTGAATATTGTGAATATTGTTATTTAGAGCATTCATGTAAATTTTTGTGGACATTTCTTTTCACTTCCATTTAGTGGAATTGCTGGGTCACATGATAATTCTATGAGTATTAACATTTTGAGGAACTACCAAACTTTTCCAAAGTGGCTGCAGCATTTTACATTCCCACCAGCGAGGTTTGAAAGCTCCAATTTTTGTACATCCTGACCAATACTTGTTATCGTTTGTGTTTTTGATTATAGTCATCTTGGTGCATGTGAAGTGGCATCTCCTGGCTTTGTTTTGGAGTTCCCTAATGGTTAATGATGTATCTCATATCTCTTCATGTTTATTGGCCATGTGTGTATCTTCTTTACTGAAATGTCTTCTCAAAGCCTTTGCCCATTTTTTTAACTGAGTTGTTTGTCTTTTTATTGTTGAATTGTAAGAGTTTTTGTATATTCTGGATACAAGCCCCTTATCAAATACATGATTTGCAAAAAAATTTCCTACTATTTTGTGAGTTATGCATTCAGTTTTTTAATGATGTATTTTGAAGAACCTAGGTCTGTATGTGGTTTATTGGAGATACTCTTTCTGTTCTTGCTTTTCAGTACTTTGCATATCACATGTCAGTTTTTAGTAATAATAATTATTGAAGTTTACGGAATTTCTAAAGTAAAAATATTATATATGCACATGGTAAAATTAAACAAAAAAAAGCACTGTGGAAGGGTGCCACCTGTTCATTTTTAGGCCCTGCCATCAAAAGTCAAGACTTTAAACATCTCTTGAGTTCTTGCTGTGAATGGTAATTTTATTCACTGTTCTTGTTTTTTATTCCACTGTATGGATTACCACATTTTGTTTCTACATTTTGGATCTTATGAATCATGCTCCTGAACACTGTGTACAGTTTTTTATTTGAACATATCTGTTCATTTCTCTTGGGTAGATACTTAGGAGTAAAATCTGTGGGTCATATGGTGACTTTATGTTTGGTTTTTGGAGGAATCACCAAACTAGTTTCCACAGCAGCTGCACCATTTTAATATCTTCACCAATAGTACACAAGGGTTTCTGTTTCCCCACATGCTCGCCAACGCTTGTTTCCGTTTGTTGTTCATTCTAGCCCTCCTACTGGCTGTGAGGTGATGCCTCATACTGGTGTTGGTTGTATTTCCCTAATAACAAATGATGTTGAGCATCATTTCATGTGCTTGTTGGCCATTTATATATCTCCTTTGAAGATATATATCTGTTTAAACTTCTGCTCATTTTTCAGTCTGATCGTTTGTCTTTTTGTTATGAGTAGTAAAAATTCTTTTATAATCTGGTTATTAACCCTGTGTCAGATGTATGATTTGCAAATATTTTCTATTCTGTGGGTTATTTTTTTTCACTTTTTCTTGATAGTTTTGGTGAGTTATGTTTTTTCTTTTGTTTCCATATTTAAGACACTGTTGCCTAATCCAGGGTCATGAAGATTTATACTTGTTTCCTTCTGAGAGAGCTGTAATTTTTAGCTCTCACAGTGTTCTCAGATCCATTTTGAGATAATTCTTTTTTAAAGATTTTATTTATTTATTTGAGAGAGAGAGGAAGAGAGAGAGAGCGTGAGCACATGAGCTGAGGGAGCAGCAGGTCATTGGAGAAGCAGACTCCCCGCTGAGCAGGGAGGTGGACATGGGACCAGATCCCTGGACCTCGGGATTGTGACCTGAGCCGAAGGCAGATGCTTAATGGACTGAGCCACCTAGGCTCCCCATTTTGAGATAACATGTGAGGAGAAGGTCGAATTTCATTCTTTGGTGGGTTAATATCTAGTTGTCCACCACTATTAGTTGGAAAGACTGTTCTTTTTAACACCGAATGGTCACAATATCTTTTTCAAAAAACAGGACCATGAGTGTAGGTGTTTATTTCTGGACTCTTATTTCAATTCCGTTGATCTCTATGTCTATCTTTATACCAGTACTGCACCATTTGTTTTCAATGTAGCTTTGTAGTAAGTTTTGAAATTAGGAAGTGTCCTGATTAAGTCCTTCAACTAAGACTTTCAACTTACTTTTTCTTTTTAAAAATAATTTATTTATTTAATTCTTTAATTCCTTTTTCTTTTTTAAGATTGTTTTGACTACTTGAGGTTCCTTACAGTTGCATTTGATTAGCTTTGTATATTTTTTCAGAATTATTGATAAATAAAAATTCAAGAATATAGAGAAGGAAGTGTACTTCATATATATATTTGAAAAGAAAATATAGTAGTTCTCAAGTTTTTAAAATTCTGAATGTTTTAATATTTACATCTGTCTCTAATTCTATGTGTATAATTTTGTATTCTTTTCCTTACAAGGACTCCCTAAATTTTATAAGCTTTAGGGCCTGCAAAGCCTAGATTCTACCTGGTGATAGTTTCAAGATGTTTCTTGAAGTTTTCCAAATATCTTCTAAGATGTTTTTCATCCCATTGAGGTCTGCTCTTGTGAACAAATAGTGTTTTGGCTGGGCAGTTAATGAGATAATATTTTTTTAGACATATTTGTTAAAATTAAGAATGCACATTCTCAGGCCACTTGGGTGGCATCCAACTCTTGGTTTTGGCTCACGTCATGGTCTCAGGGTGGTGTGATCAAGCCCTGTGCTGGACTCCGTACTCTGCATGGAGTCTGCTTGAGACTTTCTCTCCTTGTCCTTCTCTGTCCTTTTTTTTAAAGATTGTATTTATTCATGAAATACACAGAGAGAGAGAGACGCAGACAGACATAAGCAGAGGGAGAAGCAGGCTCCCTGGAGGGGAGCCTGATGATGTGGGACTCAGTCCTCAGACTGGAGGATCACACCCTGAGCTGAAGGCAGATGCTCAACCAGAGTCACCCAGGCGTCTCTAAATAAATACATCTTTTTTTTTTTTTTAAAAAAAAGAATGCACATTCTGTTAGGCCTAGAAATTCTACTTCTTGATACCTCCTGTCAGAAGTACACATCTGTAGAAAAGAAACCTTCAGGAATGTTCATTGCAGCATTGAAATATTTAGAAAAATTTAAAACAGTTTATTTCTGGGATGCCTGGGTGGCTCAGCGGTTGTGTGTTTGCCTTTGGCTCAGAGTGTGATCCCGGGGTCCCGGGATTGAGTCCCGCACTGAGCTCCCTGCATGGAGCCTGCTTCTCCCTCTGCCTGTGTCTCTGCTTTCTCTCTGTCTCTCTGTCTCTCTCTCTCCCTTTCCCTTTCTCTCTGTGTCTCTCATGAGTAAATAGATAAAATCTTTTAAAAAAAGTTTATTTCTTATTTTTTTCAGTTTTTATTTTATTTTATTTAATTTTATTTAATTTTATTTAATTTTATTTTATTATTTTATTTATTTTATTTATTTATTTTATTTATTTATTTTTTATTTATTTATTTTATTTATTTTATTTTATTTATTTATTTTATTTTATTTATTTATTTATGATAGTCACACACACAGAGAGAGAGGCAGAGACACAGGCAGAGGGAGAAGCAGGCTCCATGCACCGGGAGCCCGACGTGGGATTCGATTCTGGGTTTCCAGGATCGCGCGCTGGGCCAAAGGCAGGCGCTAAACTGCTGCGCCACCTAGGGATCCCTCAGTTTTCTTTTTTTAAGGAAAATTTAGGTACAATTTAAATACTCATCAAAAGATAAATAAATAATGGAAATTCACTGACTATTACTCATTAAGAAGAATGTCTTGATAAATATCTTTAAGGCTGAATTAAGTAGATAAAGGAAATATGTATGACCTATTTATGTAGACCAGCACCAACAGAAAATACAATCCCGTTTGTGGCAAATATCAACAACAACCAAAGCTGTAGTACACTATTCTTTATTTCTGTATGTAATGGCATTTTCTGGAAAGTACATACCAACAGATAATGATAATACTTTATTTATTGCATCAGAGTGTGTTAGAAGGAACAGTAACAGTTGAATGCTTATGTTGTAAACTTTATGTATATTTTATCATTGATTCTCACAACAGTTCCATGGAGTTGGAAAATACTAGTATTGGAACAGAGTAGGAAACTGAAGACCAAAGAGGTTAAGTAACTTACCCAAAGTCACACAGCTAGTAAGTGTTGGACTGGGATTTTGACTCCAGTAATTAGACGTCAGAACCTGCATTCTAAGCCTCTTAGTACCCTTAGAGTTGATAATTGATGTGGGGCACCTCAAAGGCACTTTAGGTTCACTTTCATTCAAAACCAAATTCATAAACTCTAGCCCCTTCCATCCTCACCTTGGTTCTTGTTATTTTTTTATGGTTCTGTCTCTTAAATATCATCTGTCATCCAGTTGATGTGAAACCGTGGTAGCCACTCCTAATACCTTTCGATGCAGTTAGTCCTCAGTCCAGTCAATCCAGATTTTACTTCTTGAGTGACTCCTAATTGCCTTCACTGTGTTCCTCACTCTGTTGAGCTCTGCCATACCTGCTGGTCTGCAATCTCCCAGTCTTATCAGTTTCTGCTTACAGGTTATTGGAGCACCATTTTGAATGATTATTTTATTACCGTTTGTTGTTTCTTCCCAGACTCTAGTACCTTGAGAGCTGAGCACTATGATGTGTCCTCAGGACAGTTGAGTCTGACACATCTGGTCTTACCCAGTTGGTTTTGTTCACGAGGTTGCAGAGGCTTGAACAGTGCAGCAACGTCATTGGTTCAAGTGTGGAGTTTGTCGCCACTTCTAGCTTCTCCGCTTCCCAGTTGCTTCCATCTTTTCAATAGGATAAAAATACTGTCTCCCTCTTAGGTTACTGTGGGGGTCACATGGCTTCATGAGCATAGAGCCCTGGGAACGGTGTCCAGAATGCACTACAGTGCTCAAGTAGTGACAGCCGTTGTCCTGAGTCAGGGGACCTACCCAGCTCAATGGGAGGTTTCATGCAGAGCCGACCCTAGATACCAGTTCTTCATGATTTTCTCCATGCTGAGATTGTTTGGGATTCTTGAAAATTTATTCTGTGAGCTGAAGATTATCTTTGTACTTTCTTATTCAAATAGGTTTGTGGTTTCTTGCATAGGGAAGGCATGTGTACATTTGTCTTCAGTTTAACTCCATTACAAAGAAGGATCCTATTCACTCCACCCCCAAGGAGGTGGAAGGCATTTTCCTATACAAGGAAAATTTGTGCTTACTCAGAGGTCAAGCAAGGTCAAGTACAGGTTGTATAGGACTTTGAATATCAGATAAGGTCTTTGAATGCAGATGTTTTGGAGACAAAGAATTTTAAGGAGGAGGTAGATTCTGTGCATAATGGTTTTTGGAAAATTGATTGGACTGAAGCACTTGGAACGGGATGGTGGGTTTCTGATAAGACAAGTTAGGAGGGTGAGCTGGGCTTCGTGGGAGAAAGAATGAACTTTGCTTTTATAGATTGAGGTTGAATTACTTGTTGGACTGTATCCAAATGGAAGCATCTTCAGGTGAAGTACGTGGAACAGAGTCAGGAGAGAAACTTGGGGTAGAAATACTGAGAACCATGTAATATGACAAAAAGAGTAAATGGAATGATACAAAGTCCTGATACACTAGCAAAAACCTGATCCCACAAGGCATGCTGTGACAAGGATTGCTTAGCTGTTACTTCTGTATGTACTTGAAGGTGATGACACCACATTTTAAATAGTACTCTGTAATTGAGAATTTTCACTAATAAGTACATTTAGTAAAATGTGCCATATTACCTTGGTGGTGCTTAAGAGAGAAATTGAAAGGGACATGATGTTAATAAAGTTCTTATGTAATAGAAGAAAAGAGGTGCATATTAAGTACTATATTGATCTTAATAGATATATTACATATACCACATTCTTTAAAAATAGGCTTATCTTGTAAAGGAGAGTAGACTCAAATAAGGACAAAGCTGTTGGTGTGAACCTGAAGGAAAGGGCAGATTTCCTAAGTTCCAAGTTAATTAGCTGTGTGTGTGGGAGTCTGTACCACGAATACTCACTAACTCAGATGCTTGTGCTGTTTTTTCTTGACTAGGAATTGTGGTGCTTGGAATAAACAGAGCTTATGCCAAAAATACATTCAGTAAAAGTCTGATAAAAATGGTGAGTGTAAAGATTAAGCTGTTTGCTTCTAGTATTAAGATACATGTTGACATCATTCTGAAAGTGATTTTTCCTTTTTTTCTCCTTACCCTCCCTGTATCTGTTTAGCTCTCAAAAGCTGTGGATGCTTTAAAATCTGATAAGAAAGTGCGGACCATAATAGTCCGGAGTGAAGTCCCAGGAATATTCTGTGCTGGTATGTAAATAAATTTTATTATGACACTGAACCATAGTCTAACTTTTCCTCAGCGATATCCCATTTTTCCATTATAAAGTGTTTGTGAGTAGAATTCTATTATGGACATTTTCTTTGTCTGTTTTTTACTGTTTTACAAGACAAAAAATGCTTTGTATTAAGAAACTTTTGCAACGTGTTGTTTTGGAAGTTGTTAAGATAATTCGAACCATTAAAATATTTGTAATGCATGTGTAATATATATGAAAGATCAACTGGGAAGGAAGAGTTGAGTCTCCTACCTATAACAGTGTGCTCTGTGTTTATTTGTTGCTTAAAAAATACTTTCTTTAAGTAGCAGTAGCTATCCCAGTAAAAGGTGTTAAGTATAGACATTTGCTTTGGACATTGTTTATAGTGGCACCTACTTAAGTTTGTGTCCATGGATTGTACTTTTTTTTTTTAAGATTTTATTTATTTATTTATGAGAGACCGGGGGGGGGGGTGGGGGGCTGCAGAGACACAGGCAGAGGGAGAAACAGGCTCCATGCAGGGAGTCCTACCCGGAATGCCATCCCGGGTCTCCAGGATCACGCCCTGAGCAGAAGGCAGCTGCTCAACCACTGAGCCACCCGGGCTGCCCCATGGATTGTATTTTTAAATTGGCATCCATGGCAGCAAAAATTAAGATTTTGTCCAGCCAATTGTACTGTATTACCTAAAGCTAAAGATTAGGTTGTCTTATTCTTTCCGTATTTGTTATTTCTATGCCATGAAATTGAATAAATCCATGTCAACTAGTAAAATAGTAAAACTAGTAAATGTAGATGATGAAGGTAAATGCTGATAACATGCAATATCATTGCCATTTACAAGTGAAAGTTGTTGGCTGAGGCCTAAAAAAATTTTTTTTGGTAAAAATATGAGATAATCTGTTTTGGGCAATTAACCATTTGAAGGAATGACATAGAGCATTTTATTTATTAAACAAGCATCTATTAAAAATTGAGAGTGTACCCAGAGCAATGCTGGGAACTCTGGAAAGTTTGCAGAGGTCTTTGTTGTGGCTGATAGGCCTCAGTTTCGTTCTTAAGAGTCCTCAGGCAGGGTTCATTCAACCTCTGTGGCTTCCACCCTAAAATACTGCAGAATTTTGTGGTATTTTAGGAAACATTCAGCGTAAATGAATTCTATTTTGGGTGTCAATGCATCGTGGCATACCTAAAAAGATTAGTTTTAACTCCAGTTGGGTGATGGGAGAGAGCAGGATTATTATCCTTAGCTGCCGGGGTGAGGGCCTTTTGCAGTCTAGCTTCTGCTTTTTACACATTGCAGGCAGGTAAGGCCATCGCCCATTCTGGTTGTTGGGCACCTTGAGTGCTTGTGGAATACCGCGCAGTGAGCCAATAAATGGTGGCCATTAATAATTTCTGTCAGGCTTTACAGTATGGAGAATTTACCGTGAGAGAACGGAATTCTTGGATGTGTTTGGACTGGGTGACTGAGTCCAACACGTAGATCCCCGGAGGGCTGCTTGGAGGCTTCTTGGGAAGAAAGGCCAGGAGCAGTTTGGAGGCCTTTAAGGAAGGCCCAGAGACTTGAATCTTTTGAGGAGTGACCGTGATGTCTTCAGGGCAGAGCAGCAGTTCAACATTCAGTGTTACTTACTGAGGCAACAGGCATCTCTGTCTTTCTGTTGGCCACAGGCTTGGTGACCATAACACTAATTACTGGAAGAGTTTGGCTGTCCATTGGTTTTGCATCTTCATGTTATTAGTACTCTGAAAAAGCCTTTAATGCTTTAGAACAGTTTACAGCTCTTTTTTTATGGGTTGCCTTCTTGGGAAAATATTAAGTAAATGCTTTTTTACCAGATTAACACATTGGCCTTGATTACTGTTTTCCTGAGTGTTAATCACATTTATTTTCTTTGCTGTATGTGCTTTCTAATTTCTGCATGATCAGGATAATCTTCTGCTATATTTAACTCATGAGATTTGTTACCGTATTTTGTTAAAAAAATCATTGTTTGAATTATAGAAAAATTGGGGCAGGGATCCCTGGGTGACGCAGCGGTTTGGCGCCTGCCTTTGGCCCAGGGCGCGATTCTGGAGACCCGGGATCGAATCCCACGTCGGGCTCCCGGTGCATGGAGCCTGCTTCTCCCTCTGCCTGTGTCTCTGCGCCTCTCTCTCTCTCTCTGTGTGTAACTATCATAAAATAAATAAAAATTAAAAAAAAAAAAAAGAAGGTTTAAAAAAAAAAAAGAAAAATTGGGGCAAGTCATTTATTTTAGTAACTTGGTGTATATAATGGAACCATTCTTTAAAATTTTTCTGAAAGTTTTTTTTTTCCTTACATATATTTGAAGGAGGCAGTCATTATTAGTATGTACACATTAACTATAAGCCAGTTAATAAAATCTCTTTGCAGAGTTATAATGAACACATAAGTTTTTCATAGTTTATACCAGTATAAAAATCTGAATTTAGTTAGGCTTATTTATTATTGTTGAAGAATACAGACTTTTACATAATTAGAGCTTTAATTTCTATTCTGAAGTAGCAGTATTCAAACACAAAATGCTCAGAAACAGTGTCTTCATTTACTGTTTTTTCTCTTACTTCCCTAACCCTGCAAGTTACTCGTTTCCCTCTTCCCTTCCTACCCCGCAAAGGTTCCTTTTCTCCATCCATCTGGATTCCTGGGGCACCTTGGTTGTTTCCTGAAACTTAAAGCTTATACAGTGGTCTGGCCTCAAATGTCTTGAGGATGGGAATTTCTTTTTTCCTTCTTTGAAAGTCATCTTTTGTATTCTGGGAACATAGCCTCAGTGGAGACTCAGCATGTAGTTGCTGAAATTAATCAGCCTTTCAATGGCTGTGATTTGGGGATTGTTGGGATGTGTCCACAGCTTCCCTCAGTTGTCTCAGATCACCCTCCTATTCACTGATAGTGTCTCTGGTTCCTGACTTTGGTTCATTCTTTTTACGTCCTTTTTCTGATATGCCAGAAAACAGATGATGAAGCACTATTAAAGTGATCCCTAGTGTGTAAAGTGATTTCCGACTTCTCCTTTAACTATACTATTTAAAATTTATAACCATATTCCAGTTACATTTAAATATTTAAAATAAAATTTTATTTAAAAAAAATAGGTGGTAGGTTAAAATGTATGAAATGTATACAAAGAGAGAAGTCCTGCTCTTACCTCTGCTAAGTCTTCTAATAAAAATAGACATTTTGACTAGATTCTTTTTTATCCTTCCAGTATTTAATGGTAGAGATGTATACAAATATGCACACTGATGCACAGAGGCACCCAGTCCAGCATTCAGGGACTACTTGGGGACAAGAGGGAGAGCACAGCACGTGCTGTGGTGTGGGAAGCTGGTGCTGTGGGACAGGGCTGTGTGTACAGTGTGGGGCCCCGGACTAGGGCTGTGCGCTCCCCAGGAGTACCAGGGATTCCCAGCGTTACTCTCTTGTCCCCTCTGTGAAATAATTATCTTACATTAATGAATTACAGTAACCAATTATATTCAAAATAAATTTGAAAAAAAATCCCAGGCACCTAAAATTGTGACAATTGACTGAGTTTCTGAATTGTTACAACATCTGAGAGGAAAATCTTTAGAATCAGAAGATCTTGTTCAGATACTTTCATTTTACAGAAGCCCTGTGAGGTTAAGGGCCTTGTTGAAGAGGATGACTTAGTTGGAACTACTTCTCCTGACTTCCTAGAGCAGGGTTGTTTTGTTTTGTTTCTTAACTGTACCATGATGTGTAATCTTTAGGAATATGAGGTCTCCTTTTTAAATTCTGAAAATTTCATGTACTTACACATCATACTTGATTGAGAGGATATGTAATGTCAGAATGCCATTCTATGTATAGTGTATTTAAGTGAATTTTCTGTTACTAACAATGATATTTAGATACAGAAAAGAAAACCATAATTATGAATGTACACAGTGTTTCCTGTACACTGTTTTCAGATATTGTCAGATACCATGCCATACCCTAGGCATGACTCCAGGTTGTGAATTCCCAAAGTGTACTCTTTCTTGTAGGTTAGACATTACTTTGGGTTCATGGCCTGCCTGTACTTCTCTTAGAATATTGAGACATGTCATTTTCATAGTCAAAGCTCATCATGAAACACTGGCTACATAGATCATATCAGAGATTGGCTAAAGTCTATGTTGTCTTCCCTGCATGATCTAGGTATTATATATACATTTAAAACTTTTATCTTGTTTCTTACACACGTACAGACACACTCATATTCACACACAAAGGAAACCTGAAATAATTCTACTTCACAATTTTAAGGTATTGTCTGTAATGAAATTATGAAAAAGTCTTTTGGCTGGGCTACTGAAGTAGATGTAAATGTGTAACCCTAATCATTTAGTTTTGTTCCCTGGTGTTCCAACACTAAGTAGCAAAGGCCATATATATTGTTTTTACCATAAATTTTTTGAAATGAAATTTTATGAGAAATTACTGAGAATAAAGATTTCTTTCCTTTGAAATTACTAAAATAGATTATAAACAATTCTTGGTAATTGATTCTTGTATGATGAACTCTAAATTGAGTATTTCACCGAATTATACATAATAGTGTGGGGTTTTTTTGAAAGTAAATGTAGTTTTGCTTCTGCTTTTGAATTCTAGTAAATTATGATTTCACTAAAAACTTCTCACTAAAATTGTCAACATGCTGTATTGAATGTTGTGTGTAGTGTTCAAATGGAGACAGATATCATGACGTAGACATGTGGGGGCTGCTGACTGATGAAGTTATCTGATTCAATTTTGTTTCAGAATCTCAGGTTAAGTTGTAGTTATGTATTTAAATGCTAGTCCCTTAGGAAGTTTGATAAATAAAGTGAAAGGATAGATATACACAAATTCGTAATAGTTGAGCATAGGGTTCTTTTATTGTATATCATTTTTTATTTAAAATAATCTATTGAGGTATGAATTACTTGTAATAAAATGTACCAATTCTTGGG